ACCAGTTGATAAAATTCAATTTACATGGCTCACAGATAAATCCTTATCCAGTGGATAAAATCCACACAAAATCCAAAGTGGATAACTTTTTTGTACAACCACAGACAATCAATGTTGYGCCAAACCARATGTATAAATTGGCACCAGTATTGCTGGATCTRRAGAAAGAGGATATTTGTATGTCATACCTTAGGGTATGGGATTCCTGTGGTAGTGTTAAATGCTGGYAGGATACGGTTAGCTATGTCTTTAGCCATTTCCAGTAACTCCCCTTGATACCATGCCATGCCATTGCCCATYTCTTTAAGGGTTACTGCSGCAACATGACCACCAAGAAGACCACTAAACAATGAATAAATACACTGATATTATTACTAATAATAAATGATTATTAATATATTAGAGTGAAGTCAAATAACCTGTGAAATAGATATATTRCGCTAATATTGCTATTTGACTGTCACACTTTTAATAGTGAGGAGTCTAAATTTGTTTCATGGGTTTAATGAGCTTCCTTATGGAGTTCAAGGATTGAAAGTGTGCATCACTTTATAAACAATTTTAGTATAAACATATTTTAATGGTCTATCACTCATACTGCACTGTGATTGGCTACTCTACTAATGGTCTAATTTGTGATAGACCACTCACGGGGAAAATCAATCTCATTAATAAATTATTTTAAGGGTATTTCAATTTGTTTTCATTATTTGACCGATTAGTATGTTTATACTAAAACAATTAGACCTCTCGGCCTCGTGGACTACATGTACGAGCTAATAGCCCATTCGGCCTTGCGGACTCGACCTCATGGGCTATTAGCTCGTAGTCCACTCGACTTGAGGTCTAATTGTTAAATATAAATATATAACATAAATTATTTTAATTAACAGTAATTATGTTTATTAATTAAGGTTAATTTTTTTATGGATAATGGATGTGCGTGTCTACTCTAATATTATCACTATTTATCACAGACTATTAAAAATTATTATTAATCATTACTAATAGAATTGTAATAGAATCTGACATTCAAGCCTCTTACCCAACCATCCTGATGTTCGTTTCAAACACAGACACCACAAGGTCATTGTCAAATTGAACATCCCTGATAACCAATCTTACAGCTCTCTCAAACTCTTCTAGCTCTCCAAGGACCTACAAATATGATGGAAATAAAAGTGTGAATGGAAGGTCTCCCTTACTGACAAACTGTGGCCAGTTAATTGTACAAAGGGTTTACAAATTATGCTATTCATGGGATAAATCCTTGTCCAGCAGATGAAGTATGTGGATTGGATGACTTTGACCAACTGGCCTCTGAAGACTGTCAATAACATGTAAAATTTTGTCTGACTTGCAAAAATATCTAAAAGCTCATTTTATTCCTTTAAACTAGAATAGACCTAATTGGCCAACGCCATGTTGCCATCTACATTACCACCCAATTCAAATCCTGTGGGAAAAAGAACTTTTGTTTCTAAGAATTCAACTGTGAAATCAAAATACAACGAACAATGAAACTTACTCCCAGGTGGTTTGAATCGGGTAGAAATTTTTATAGGAATGCATTAGCCGATTAGGTACATTAAGGACAGGTAAATGTTAAAATGTAGGAAATATTAAACCTGACAGTCAAGCTTGTRTAGATTATTCTGTGGGGGGAGGGGAGTGGTAGGGATGGCAGTGAAAGTATTGATTACAATACATTAAAGGGACACTGTCAATGGATGACATGTGCGAGTAAACTTGAAAACACTAGGCTAGTGTTTTCAAGTTTATGACTCCAAGTTGGCGCGACATAAATCAGATCGTAAATGTAAACAGATCTAGAATATTCCAAAGTGTGTCAAAAGCACCACAAAATGATTTACCTCGAAGGTAATACTTTCAAAGTCCGTTAGAGGTGAGACTGTTACTGCGCATGTCATCCATTGACAGTGTCTCTTTAAGCAAGGGCAACAGGATATAGATACAGTTTTCTTTTTGAAGGGGGGGTCGAGGGAGAGGGTACCTTTTTTTTGAGGGAGGGGGAGAGGGGGAATAGTGAAAGCATGATTTATAGTATATTAGAAGAATACTTACAGCAAGAGTATCCAATGTGTCAACAAGAGTCAAAGAAAACCTAGAACACAATATTGTAATTCAATATTGATATTCTAACATTAGTACCATAAACCCATTCTCCACATTAACAACTTCTCACTTTAAGGTATTCATTGAGTGGGAGTGAGAAAAACACTAGACAGACCATGATGCTCAGATTCCCTGTCTGGTGTGATTATATTCAGACCATAAGCATTTTTAACGTCAACTACGTTTGGTTATCACAAAAGTTATGACAAAGTTTTTCTGAAGAAATGCACGGGTYTCATGCTACTAACAGAAAATTTGTTTTCAAGGGCACTTGAAAATAGAAAAAAACCCAAAAATATTTCTGGAATATTCCTTGAATCTGTTTCAATCTGCACGCTGCTTTTTAATATCTTAAAGAGGGAGCTTTCAAAAATCACAGATGAACAAAAGCTAAGGAAACCTAAAATGAGAGTTAAGAATCAAATTATTGTGCTTTAAAAGTACTTGAAAAATTTTGTAATGAGGAAACAAAATTATTCTGGTAAGAACACATCTTAAGAATATACTAGAACTACTGCTTAAGTTAGCTTTTACCAAACGTTTTATTGCTAGTGGGTGTGATGCCAAAGGTATTATGATAGTTATACATGTACTTACTTCCCAAGGGCATCATCTACGTCACCACGACTGGCATCAACACCTCGTACACGKCCTTTGCAGCTAAGTGGCATCAGTTCGTCAGCGGGGTAGGCATATTTCTACAAAAAAAAACGTTTATAATATTAAGTACATGTAATATTGGTTCAGATGAAGAAAAAACAGACCAAAAGTCCCATGAATGTATTGAATATTGAATATTTGGGGTTAATAATGCTAATAAGTGTAATATTCACCCAAAAGAAATGTCACTAGAAGGTGTGTGTCTGTTAAATATAGCAAATATTTCACAGCGCTTGGTGTTTCTATGACATTGATTTTGAAAAATTATAATAAAAATGATAAACAGGTATAAAATAAGATTATATTAATAGTTATTTAACTGAATGCCTAAATGAAAGTTTAAAATTTTTCCAACCTAAAAAACAGATACATCATTGAATTTTATTCAAATCATTATATCTTAATTTTTGTTTACTTGTCTATTTTGTGTCTAAACAACACCTTTGAATTTATCAGTAAAAATTCACGTATTTTGATATTATTTGTTGACATTTCCTAATTTTAATAAAACAGCTCTGAAAAGCACTCATAATTAAGCTTAATTATTTTTTAGAAATTAGTTTTTTTTCAATTCTTTATCACAAAAATTTACAGCTGGCTCAATAAGTCCAACGTWCTTCAAAAACACAGCAGTAAATGAAAAAATATCCGTTTAGGATAAAAATAAATAAAAACTTAGGGTAAAAACGGAAAAAGAAAGAGATATATATATTCAATACTCCCGAAACTGGTAAAAAAAAAGTTTTTAGATTGAAATTTTCAAGTGAAAGTTATGAATCGTTTGTTATTAACTTAAGTAATAATTTCAACTGTTTCTACAGAATTCACAGCTGTTTCGACAAAACATTTAACAGCTAAATCTTGTTCATTATCTGTTTGTAAGACGATAGTTTTGAAACTCCATCGTTAGTGATACCAGTATTCACCCCAAAACTACAATAGTCGAAATGACAACATTTTGGACTCACCATATACGAGTCGTACGCGTGGTGAAACATTTCCTTCACCTTGTCCCTGCAATGAATACAAAACACAGTCTATACTATACCACAATATTCCTCACTCAAAACYACACTTTTCTTTTGAATTTGACATATTTTAYGTACCTTAATTTGTGTTTTTCCTCAAGAGACATTGCTTGAGACTCAGAACCACCGAACGTTGCCACCAAAAGCGGAATCCAAACAATCACTAGGATAGTTTTCTTCAGCATCTTGGTCGCTACAGGCTCTAAATTCCGAGCAATATCGCTTGAAGATGGCTTTAAGCCGTGTAATGGTTAATAATTTGTGTTTACAACGGCGACATTCTGTGTYTMWGTGCCATCCATTTCTTTACAGATTCCATTTCGCCATTTTGTCTTCGTGGCAGTGACGTCAATGGGGGGACTGGGTACTAGTTGGCTTATTCCTGCATAAATAAAGAAATGAATAGATCAATTACAGAAGGAAAAAATTAAATTTTAAATTAAATTAAATTTAGACATCAATYCAACGATTGATCATCCAATAGATAGATAAATGAATAAATTTAAATTGATAAATGAATTTTCAATAAATGAATACATTAATAAAAGAGAATGAAATGAAATGTCTGTCACACACATACACAAATAATAGAAGATTCATGAGTATTCGTTGCCTAGACTCTGAATAAAGTCTTCATTGTTTTTAGAAGAATGAATTGTAACAAAGATTGCATGAATTGTTCATCGTCTTGAAACAAGACGGCTGAKGTGGCCCTGGGGACGCAAAACGTGACAAAAACGTGACGTCACGCTACTTTGACTCGGCGGGCGGCGGGCGACGGATGCGCCTGACGGTCACTATCGGCATTACATGAAACGGCTTTCTTTTTTTTTTCTTTTTTTCACAAAGTGAGATCGAAACAAATTGAGATCCAAATTAGTTGAAGTATTTTGACAACTTCATAGAGTCAAGAAGACCACATAGGAAGCGAGTTCATAAAAGCAGACAAAACAAAAAATTATGTGAAAAAAATGCGGTCACTCGCGTCGTAAGACGATGATCACTGAAATCTCTGTGCCATCGTACTGAAAAGTATTTGAAAAGTATTTGAAACAACAAAATGTTCGGCATTGATCGTCCAGCTCCGTTCTTTTATATATATATATATATATATATATATAGGCTACATTCTTATTGTTTTAAGGACGAGACCGATCTTATAGGCAATGTATGTCCAATTGCCTTTAGTGGCACTCAACGCCGCGACTCTTTTTCATTTATGACGATAGATTTGGTCCCTCTGAAGTCCAGTACTTAATTTTCAAATTGTAATAATATAGCGGATAGAAACAAAAAAGTACTACTAATGACGGACCACCGCTGGCGCGCTCTCAGCACTAAAAAGGAAATAAGAAACAACAACAGCCAAACAGTCGATAATCACTCATCATAAATGATACTAAAAACTAATTTCGCCCTTGTAAGTACCTCATTTGTCTCTTTATTTTAGTGTCTCTTTATTTTAGTCTCAGTGTTTTTGTTTACATGACAAATCTTTGCCAAAAGCCCCTTGGKTGATCATCTGTTTCTGAATTCTCCTGATAATTATGGACATTCAAAAGCAAGGTAATAATAAAATCAGCGATGATAAATATGAGAACAATGATATCGAGGGCAATGGATAAAACAATAGTTACTTCAAGAACTTTCTAAAGACGATAAATATTTTCTGCTCTAACCATTCGTTTTTCCTAAAGTCTATGACAATAATACCCATGACGCATTCAATACCTGCTAATGAACAACGGCATCTTTATAAATAAAAAATGAAAATTTATGGATCCATGTCAAATCACCTTGTTTTTCAGCTTACTGCACCCTGCTTATCTTGTGTCATTTCGGCAAACCCAAAATGTTATCACGAGAYCTGCTTCTTCACTTTGCGTTGGGACTATTTTCAACGTTTTGTCCTGGTAAAGTTTTTGGTCAAATGGAGAAAGGTAATTACAAAATCTGTTAACCATACAGATTACTGCATGTTTGCATCCTTCTGATAAAACTATCATCAACACTGTTTAACTATTGAAACGTTTTTGAAAGGTCTTCTCTGTTCAGACATGATACCAACCCAGACCATCGTTTAAACTAATCGAATCATGGTTATCAAAATAGCACATTAATACGATCATCTGAAGTGAGTTACAAACTAAAAGCTTTACTTCTTTGTGTTTTCTTTCAGTTGAATATCTTATTATTCATTTCTTGTTTAAATGAGTTGCAGTCGAAGCAGCAAAACGCACTTAAGACGCCGGATTTTCAAACCATTTGTGCAACGGTATGAGGCGGAGCATACGTTGGTTTCGAAAATGCGCCAAACCTGAGAATGGTTAATTTACACTGATTTCCATTTGAAATAAAAAAACTCATTCATATTCTCTCATTTTCTCATGAACGATTTGTTTTCACCCTATTGGATTTACCAGTTTTTTTCTCATAAAACCTTGGCCTCGCATATATTGACGTCATATACACCTATTTTTAAAAAACGTTGTCATCCACATTCTTTGGCCTCCAAAAAATCTTGGCCTTTCCATGGGTAATAATATATTCAAAATATAGTTTGAATTCATCAATTGCRGCAAACACTAACATACTATTGCGGGTATTAAACCCATCGAACAAGTCTCGCCATAAGACATTTTCCTTGAAAATGTCTTCCACGTTTTCGAACAGTCAATCATCTTCAAAGCCTCTATATYATCGCTACAACACCGAGAAGTTAGAATACTGAAAGTGAACATAAAATTATACATGTCAATCCCAAGATTCTTTGCAGGCTCAAACAAGACTTTGRGCAGTGTCCTGGCGCGACGCAACGTTTTTTTGAAATAGGTGATATATAGTCGCCGGCACGGTAAACTGTTGCACCATTATCTGTATATAAAATATATACGATCTCTTTGATTCAGAAAAATGCAGTCTACAGCAATCCGAGGTTCCTTCCCAGTGTATTCCAGGAACTTTGTTCAAAGTTCATTACAGTGAACTTATCGGAAACCATACTATTATTGGTCCAGTCTTGAAGACTCTCAACGCTCGAGACCACAACGAGTGTAAAGACGCCTGTTTTATGAATGTCCCTGATGAATGCTACATGTTCAACTATTACTCTCAAGATAAAAAGTGTCAACTACTCTACAAAGATCGCTTGTTRGATTACAAGGTGGTCAAAAGAAGTGGTTCTGCTTTCAAGACCAGAAAGGTAATAATCCACTAACAGGGACACTACGCTTAAATTATTTAGTACTGTTTGTTTGACAAATTATATAGTGCGTCTACGTTATTTTTGTGAAAAATAATCCATCCTCCGTTTTATTCACCCTCCATCTTGGTACTTTTGCGCCAAACCTAGCATGAGGAAGGACCATTTTCAAAAGCACTAAGCTCTTAAAATCCACGCTTTTTTTGCTGTAAAGACGCAATATTTGTGCGCAATTTCTGCGTGAAGGTATCTTCCATTTCATATCAAAACGCTTTAGGAACAATCTTTGTTTATTTTACTTTATTCAGTGCAAGAAAAACACGTGTAAAAACGGAGGTCTGTGCTATTCGCTCGGTGACGTAAGTCACGTGGCCTGCATATGCAAGTCAGGATTCTCTGGAAACTCCTGTGAAAGTAAGTTTGAATAACTGGGCGTCGGCCAAACCATAATTTATAAGAATTAATTATTGGGCGAAAGTTCCTACCATTGTACCATTCAATGGTCGTATCGTACGATGCAATAAAACCTTGCTGCCTTTCAAGATGGAAAGAGGGCCTCACATCAAAATCGATATAATAATGATAATAATAACATTGATATGACAAGAATAGTTTCCCTCATTATCACTGGATGAAGCTTAATGTTCACATTTCAGCTTCAACAACGGGAGCAGCAACAACTGCAGCAACAGAAACAACAGCGGCTGTCGAAACAACAAAAGCAGCGACAACAGCGACAGGAGCTGCAACATCTGCATCTGGAACAACAGGAGCTGAAATTACCACAGCTCCCGCGACTGCAGCAACAACAGGAGCGCCAACAACAGGAGCGCCAACAGTATTAACAAGAACAGTACCAGCAACAGCACCAGTAGTGACTGTAGCAGGGACGCCAGCACCAACAAAGGCAGGAGATGGTACAGCTATTGGACAATTCTATTTTATATCACATTTATCAAAAACAAAAAAAAACAAACAAAAAATATATACTTTAAGGAACAAAGTACAATATAATCGCCCTTCATTCGTCGTACCTCCTTCACATTTCATATAAAGACCCACGTTTCAACAGCTCGCCCACTCCCCGGTCAGTAAAAATGCTCCCTGAAAGCGTCCCTGAATATTTTGTTGTTTTTGTTACTTCATTCTATTGGTCTTGCTGTTTTTGTGTGTTTCTTTTATCACATTAACTGTTATATWTTTTTTAGTTTATGTCAAAGTCAGCACCAGTAAAGTATGCTACGGCACAAAGGACGATTCTTATGGACGTTTTACAGTCACTAAGAATGGACGAATCAGGACATTCAAACTCGTTTATGTCTCAGGGACCGGGCTTAAGAACGAGTTGCTATCATTTCCCGGTAAATGGGGAACTGGCTTCGGACCAGTATTATGGATCACTAGAATAGAGACCCACATCACTGACGCAAGCGACAAGAGAATTACCCCACCCGTTGGTTATACCCTGGATGACTATTTCGGTCGAATGGGTTATGATGTACCAGGGTACAACTACAACACCGATACACTGGTGTTTCCTTTTATTTCTCCAACGATGAATGTGAAGGTCGGGGACAAGTTTAGAATCTGGTACGGAGCAGATTTGAAAAATGCTTGGGAAGATGACAATTCAGGAGAGACATGCGCAGACGTATATGCCTTGTACTCTGAAATAAGTATTTAAGACGACGACATGTCATGCTTACAAAATGACAACCCCCAAATCTAATGCTCCAGTTTCGAATTCATAACAAAAAAAMCGCTGCTTTATTTGAAAACAGATTCTCTTGCRCAAAGACATGACCAAACACAAAAGAGAACACGAGAAAATTTCGTTTTTACAWTAGCCATTTTCATTTTCCCCRAGRCTTAGGAGMCTTCTGGGAGTACAGGGTTAGCCTCAACTCGGGGAAAATKTAAATTGTTAGCGCTATTGTACTTACAACATTTTCTCCTGTTTTCTTTTGTGTTTGTTAAGTTCTTTGCGTAAKAGAAYSTGCTGTCATATAAAACAGCGKTTATTTGCTTTGAATTCGAAAATGGAGTATTGCAACTTTTTGTGGTCTATCCCATTGCAKTCCGATGCTGAACACTATGTCATGATCACCATGTGCCGTAATCCGCAATTCAGTAAGTTTTCTTCACAAGTTTGACACTTMTTCGCGTAAAATATTGAATCAATTTTTCTGAATTATCGACAAGAAAGTTGTTGAAAGCTATTGTCATGCTATTTTAGCGTTAAAAAATTCTATAGCACCGCACATAGTTCATCGATCACTTCAATTTGCACAGATCAAGGAAGCTTTGTTAWAGTCTAGCTGATATACCAATTTTAAAACTTCCTCACATTAATTTCAATTTCAACTCAATGTTTGACTGGAGTTCACTTCATTGATTCTCTCGCAAAAATCTCTRTGAATAATTCTAAAAGTAAACACGAAATAACCTGTACATTGGCTTCAAGACTTCAACTTTAGTCAGGTTCATTTTCAGTGCTCACATTATCTCACGTTCTAGCAAAAWCCTAAACGTACTACGTGTTAGGAGAACACTTCTTTGAATACGTCATCTTTCCAACACACAGGAATCCCGCCCAAACTGCGTATGGATATAAGAAGTGACTATATGCGCTTTGTGAGTGCTTTTTTAAAAATTGATAACTAGGTTCACGGAAATTTGGATGTACCTACACAAGTTACTGATGTGCGTATAGAAGTTCTTTCATGTACATAATGTAYAACCAACCACAATGCAGCGCGCGCTCGTGTTATTGTTTACATACGTTTAAATGTGTCAAGCATACAATAGATTATAGATTGATAGTACCTGTGAGGTACTTAGTTATAGGTATTTCTGTCTTAACTGAAAGGATGGAAGACGATTCGCGCTCACTTTAAGAAATCTTAGGAATCCGCCATTTTCGTGTCCACCTAAAATGGCGCTTCGGCTCGCAAGGTACGGTGGTTGGTTGTGATTCTTTAAACTGAGAATAATTTTAAGTGCCGAGTGTGAAGACTCGAACCCGGCGCTATTTACCGCCTAACTAACATGAGAGCAGTTCGAATGGATGAACCTTAAAGGGCCAGTTTGCACCATTATGCTTTGCGAGCCTCTGTTATTGTTATGATTTACACCAAAATACTTCTAGTATCCAAATATCACCATAAAACGAAGTAAGATGGTTGAAAACTATTATACTAGCGTTTAAAGTGCTTAGAAAATTGAGATGGTCAAAGATTCCAAACACACAGTATAATTTATAGACTTTCGGTAAACTGAAAATGGCCGCCTACACGCCCTCGCGGCCCCCAAACCATACTAATGGTGCACACTGGCCCTTTAATTTTCGTGGCCTTATTATACAACGGAATTCACGAACAGACACGTGTATGTACCTAGGATTGTATACATAATTAATGAAGCTGTTCTGTTTACATGAAGACTTTCTATTGATTGATTTCACCTATTCCAATGATTGCGAGGAAATGTTTTACCAAGATGGTTAGATAATCACCCCCATTTTTTTTATTAATTTTGACAGCATGTTTTTTTTTTAATTCTCATCTCATTGATTCATTAATTTATTTTTTTAGAAAACTACCAATTTTTGAAAACGTGGCACAAAGATGCTGTTTAACCCCTAGGGGACCAACTACGGCTATGGGGGTAGAAAACCGATCGATGCGTCTAAACTTGATAAGTTACCGAAATAGGAAGCTATTGCCCTGAAAYTGCTCGTACGAACTCACTAGTAAATCTTGTCGTTCTTAAAGTTTAAAGAGTTCTCAGACGAGGTAAAAAAAGGCACAAAACAGTACTCTGCTTTGAAGTGAATGCCAAAATTTGCGTTTGGAGGACTACAGGCAACATTAAATTCCATCTCAATTTCGAGCGTCAAAACAGGTTTTTCTAGCAAAAACTCTACTTCACTTGCAATCCCCTTTTATAGCACGTCCTCGTTTTGCCATTTTTATTCTTTCAAAGTCGCTGCAGACCTCTCAACAGCCCTCTTTTAAACACCCGGTACAACAAACTTCTGTGAACGACCGAAATGCATCACGGGAAGAGACAAAATTTGGACATAAATCTTCCAGCATTCTTTATTTAAGAATTATTTGAGAAGTGTGAGCTCTTCCGCACCTACAGGCAAAATATTGGGTCGACTTCATTCTTTGGTTGTCAAATATTGCCAAAATTACCTTAGTAGGTTGGAAATTCTGCCACAGAATATTGAAGGACCAGGAAAGCGATCTTACAATGATGTCTCCAGTTCAAAGCAAACCGTGACTTAGAGTCATTGTCTTCGAAAAATCGCTACCGGGACTAGTGGAGTATTAAATAGTGACATGCTTTTATCAGCAGGATTGCCCCGAGGATCGGGATTTTGATGAATTGTTTTTGAAGCGGTGCATGTATGAAAAATGTTTAAAAGAAACTTATTACACAGTCCATAGCCTCAATGTAGTACCCAAATGATTATACAGGATACAAAAATTAACCCTGTGTATCACAGAAAATTTGAATGAAAGGTGCTTGTTTTGTTATTTACTACTAGACCAAAATAGCGGGACAAGTCTAGCCGGGATTTTAACAACCGAGTCTTACCGGGTGAAACGTCTTATTTCAATGCGTTTTTTCCCGGGGGTCGGGAAGCGAGCGTTTCAATTGACTATATAGCATGCATAACACCCTTTATTGGATGAGCAAATGCAAAAWAATTCTTGTCAAATCTATTATTTGGCATTTGCAATGTTTTCATGGGTGGTCCGTGAAGGTGGTCCATGGAGGGGTCCGCGGACTGGGGGTCAGTGTTTTCAACTCTCCCGTCCTCCAGGGGTTAAAAAAAATATTTTTACAATCCCTTACAAGTAGTTAACTAATGGTAAAAAATTAAATGTCCTCGGAAATTTTGATGTACAAATTTTCTCTGTTGAAATTACTTCGGTTCATACCAAATTATTTTTTCTGGACACATGGTAACAATTCGATCAATTAACCGAGACAACTTGCAATTTACTTCGGTTAATACCAAATTATTTTTTCTGGACACATGGTAACAATTCGATTAATCAACCGAAACAACTTGCAATTTACTTCGGTTCGTACTAAATTATTTTTTCTGGACACATGGTAAGAATTTGATTAATTAACCAAGACAACTTGTAATTTAATTCAAGCAATCTTAAAAAGATTGTTCACCTAAAAAAGACATTTTCCTGTACATTTTATATAGGAAATACAGGTCTATTTTGGTGAAAAACCTCTTCATGACGGGTTTTCAATGTGATAACACTTGATATATAGAGTGTTACACCATTGTGCATTAAAATTACTTGCCTTAGTCATGTATTAACCTATTTTATACAAAAAATAATATCTTAAAATAATAATATTTTAAAAAAGCAAGGTTTTGATATATAAATGGGAAAGTGTGAAATATTAATCATAAAATGCAAACTATGATGTTGAAAATGTGTCCATAATTATTATTTTATACTTCAGTTACTACTTTAAAATCTCTTCTTCACTGAGTTTCCTCCACTTTAGTCAACTTCCATGCTTTTTCCAAATATTGGCTGGTTTTGGAGCTGACTTTATAAATTCCAACCATGTTGTCCTTTACCTTGAACGATACATTCAAGAGGCGCAGTGATTCTGACAAAAAGGTAAATAAAAAAAGCAAAAATAATTTAAAAATGTATTCATGAGCACAACAATACCAGTTTTTAAAGTTATTGGACATTTCAGTGCCAATGACTCCATATGGACATGGATATGGACACTTAATTGAATTCTTACCATGTGCTACAAAAAATACTTTGGAAACTGCCAAAATACTTTACACATAGACTCTGTTGATTATGTCAGCTTTTTGTATATATAAAGAGACTTGTCCTTTCCAATTAACTTTGACTTTTTTATTTCAAAGCATTTAGTTGTGTACCAGGTTTTGAAATGTAGTAAAAAGAATATGTTATATGTTATATTTGTTACCATGTATCCTTGGTAGAATTCKTCAYAAATAAGACGAAATGTAACATTTTGTTATTTTTGGTTAATAAAATATTTTATCAACAAAAACTGTGCCATTGTTATTTTGGTAGTATTTATGTGGGTTTGATAACATTTACGCCAGTGCATGATTTTTTGGTAACTAATTTGAAATCCCATTGAATTTTTACAATCTCTTTGGTAAGAAATAACCTTATCAAGAAAAATTTTACCAAAAAAGTTACTTCAGAATATTGGTACTTAAAAAATTGCCTGTTTCAAACTTTTATAATGAAAATGTACGCGTATGCAAATAAAAAATAATAAAAGGCGAAACAAGGTCCCTACAAACTAAAGGAAGCTCAAACAGTCAATAATAAGAATGAGACAAAACAGAGCTTGTTTTCACCTGTCTTTTGTCATTTTTTTAAGGTTTTTTACATTCTTTTTATCTATAGAAACTTCTACTTAAAAATTCAAAATGACAAATCTTTGACAATGTTACCTTGGGGGATCGTTTGTTTTTTTAATTTACATTAAAATAGAGATCGATAGAATTTTATAATAAATTTGAGGACAATACTATATTGAGGGTATTGAATAAGACCAAGCAAACATCCAGATTGAAATTGACTTTTTTTCTCGAATTTTCTTTTTTTTCTTTCTTGTTTTTTCTATATACAAGACCTGCTAATAAACAACAAGGCGTTTATGAATTAAAAATGATCACTCATGGGTCAATGTCAAAGCACTTGGTTTGTAGAACTTCCTATCTGCAAACATATCGTGACTTATAGCTTTGAGCTCCATGTCTGCAAATCCAAAAATGCTACGAAAACTACTCACCAACTTTGTTTTCGCGCTATTTTTTACGTCGTTTCCTTGTAAAGTTTCTGGAAATCTTGAAAAAGGTATGTTTTATTATCATGTTATTGATTGCGTCCGTCTAACTATGATGACAGCGCCACCACATTCCTGCTGAAACCATCGAAATGTTTTTTTTTCGCCGACTCTTCTCAAAGACTTCAAACTAAGACGTTAATTCTTGATTTCTGTGTTTGTATACAAAAATCACTTAGATATAGTTATCTAATAATCAAATTACATATTATTTTGTATGTCATTTTGAGTAAKATTGAAGGCGTTGCAATTYAGAGGAACTTTTGTGTTTTCTAGTACCATGCAGTGCCTGAAAAATACATTTCTTGTTTTCATCAAATCGAGCTTTCAGTAGTCGTTTTAACGGCAGAAGCGGACGAAATATCTATTGACAAATGGTAGTTGAAGTTGAAAAGATCTTTCTTTTAACAGCAGCTATCRGTAAATTTCAAGATATAGACAATTGTGAGTTCCTTCTGTTCGTACCGTACCAACAAATTACGTATAATCAACTAAGTACTGGCGAAAGAAAGAAAATAAACAAATCTAACCAGAATACACTGACTGATTCCGGTGCACACTGAAATAACCCGAACTTAAAAGAATTCAAAGTTTTCAATATTTAGTGCGACAGAAACACTTCAAACTATCTTCAAATTTTATTATTATTATCGTCAATTTTAGAATATTTAGAATCCATCACTCGCATTCTCCCATCTTTAAAGGCCAAGAAATTCAGGAGGAGCCGACGGAGTCTGTTCTTCTAAAWAACTAAGCTGTTCTTGTACGATTGTTTTTCCTGGGAAAGGGATTTTGAGCTACATTGTTGGCAATGTGACACCCTTCCTTCTTTAAAATAATTTTGTTCCTGGCAAACGTTTTCGTGGTCAAAAACTTCTTATATTCTTTTTGAGTAGGAAAGTTTTATTTTTCTTGGAAAAATCCTTGCCTTGTAAGTTCTTTTTTTATGAATTTCTSGCTGGCAACCAGTTGGTGACTTAAAGCTTGCTGGGACATACTGAAGCAGATATATTTTCTCCCAGAAACCCGTCGGCTYCTCCTAGAAATTATCTTCAGCTATTTTCAAGTGGATAAAATCTTTTTGCTGGATTCCGGATTCTCTTACAGGGGGCGAAATGAAGCTATTTTCGCCTTTCGCGCATCACTCACGAGGTCTATAGTTAACTGTGGTCTCTTGCAGGTCATTGCACTCTAGAACCATCACAGATTCCTTCCCAGTGTATTCCAGG